TGACCTCGGAGGCGCTCCGCTGCAGCAGCCCCCCGCCCCCCTTGATGGCGGCCGCGCCCCCCAGCAGGACATTGCTGCTGCGGCTAGTCTTGAGCGCGTGCATCCTCCTCCCTCTACCACACCACACCACACCCCTCTGTCACCTCAACAACTTAGGCCTACTGATTATGCTTACTTTAAACCCGTTAAAAGTGATTCACATACTAGAATTAAGAAGAATTGTTCAGGTTCCAAATTTTATTTGCTGGCATTGGCATATTTTACAAATATTGATTTAATAAGTACTACAAGATTCATAGATAAATTTCATTCACCTATAAGATTCATAGATTCATAGATACTACATCCATTCATAAAGAAAAAAAATTATAACAAATTCAAATTATATATTTATTAAAGATATTACATATAGGAAAGTAAATAATAGAATTAATTCGAGATATTGAGTTTTATTTTTGTTAGCTGTTATTTATTTTAGTTTTTCATATAATTTGACTGAGTTATCTTTTCGTTGTTATTTGTTAGAATGATAAACTACATCTGGGTCCAGATTCAAAGGTTTAAATGTGAGGTTTTCGTGAGTTTTATACTCTTTGTCCACCAATGATTTTTTAAATACAACAAAAATTAATATGTTGCCGGTAAAGATACATTTACATCAGATGTATTCTTCAACTATTAAGTCTGGCCAAACATGATTCAGTCTGATGGGTGCATATTCAATGCTATAACGCCTCTACAGTACCTCCAGTACCATAGTAATGTCTGTATTTACCTATAAATTGTTTATGTAGTGAGCAGTGGATGTACCGTGATGGCCGAGGTAGTAAGTGGTGTAGTGTAGTGTATGTGTGTGGTTGTAGATGGGAGGCTGTTAACACCGACTGACCACTGTGACAGCTGGCCTGCTACTGCTACTACCTCCGTGCCAACGATGTAAATAATTATCAACAATATCCTGTATTTTGGTCTGAGGTCGATTTCTTGGAATCCATTCATAATCCCGCTTTGTCTTTGAGAAATTTGAGTTAAATAAATATGTTTAACCTTACAACTAATTACAGGAATGTGTATAACTAAGATAAGTAAAACGTGGATTTAAAAAGCAGATGTAAAATTCTTTACAATCAATGTATTTTTAAGCCTACTGTTGTATTGATCAAACTTAAGAGCATTAAATCAAATTAAATTAAAATACATAAAAAAGGCATTGTCTGAAATAACTTTGAATAGGAGTATCGCGTAATTAGGAGTTTGTGTGTTTTATTTTATTTTGTGTGTGTTTTTACGCCGGTGGCATTTTTTACGTTTAGAAAGGGAATTTGGTAAGAAACAACCCTTTTATAATTTAATTATTAATACTACAACGAACAAAAACAAATAAATCACTCTTTGATAATAAATGATTAAAAATGGTAAAATTTGGCAGAGTGATTAGTTAGAAAATCCACATCTACGAATTTGTTTCACAATTATTTACAGTAGCTAGCAGAAATAACTTTGATAGACGTAAGCAAATGAAACAACATTTATTTACTTTCAATTTGTTAAAATGTATTGTGCATCTTAAAGGTCAACGGAAGCTGTACCGCGAGGTTTGTGGCCATATATTAGGTATCTTCCAAGTAGACATAACCTAACCACAACACCAGCAATGTTGTGCCCAACGTTAAAAACCAAACTACCAAAACAATGTAAGAGTAAACAGAAAACAAGAAGAACGCGTCCATGATGAGGGGCGACAGAGAGGTGTGTGGTTATTTACATGTTATCCAACACTAGATGGCAACACTGCACGAGACACGCATACTCACGCAGCACGCACGCCCTGCACGTCCCTCACGCGTGTCGCACTGGCGCAGTTCCTCCAACCACCGCCGACCGCGCCACGATAGACACAGACTGAAATAGCTCAGATAAGGTTACCACCTGGCCTGCAATTTCCAGCGCCGCGAACTTAGACGATTAATCATATTGTTTGTTTACACTCTAGAACATGGACCCCGCGGCTTGACGCTTGACGTGTTCAATGGATTATCACGGATGGTTTTATTCAATCAATTTATACAGTAAAATGTCGGACAACCTGTGTATCTCATAGCTTAGTTTTGCTGAATCCGTCACATTTCTAGTTGCCGTGGACGTGGCAATGAGTTGTTCTATTTACTTATCCACTCTGTAATAATTTAGTGTGAAAACCTGTCCTCGTTCAATCAAGGTTGGGCATTTTCCCACCCTACCTCGATGTTCCCACCAACCGACCACAACGGCTAAATGCATCATTCATTAATTAAGATGCCTCTATAACAGTCCCAGTTAAAGTATAGTAGTTAAACTGCATTAGTGTAAGTCGATGTTTGAGGCAACGAACTAAACTATAGTCGGCTTATATCCATCCCGTGGCCACGGTTACATCCAAAGAAACTCACGTAAATAAAGGGGACTGAAAAATAAAACGTTTTACCCAGGTTTAGTACATTTTTAAGTTTGAATCACTGTACTTATGTGAACAGACATTTAAAACATATATTTTTTGCATCTACTGGCCGACAAAAATCTACTATGAAGGTTGGTGAAACAACATTTAGATCAGTAAAGGGATTGAAATTGTAAATTGAGTGCATATTCACAAATCCTATCAATGACTTTGTAGGCAAAAATAATTATAATTTAAAACTCAGTTTTGATTGCATTCGTATTAAAAGTTAGTAAAAAAAACGCTGTTTCTGCTAAATTTTGGCAATGGGTTGTATTATAACAATTACAAACATTCTAGTCCACCACAGACAAGTGCTAGATAAATAAAGCTGTTAATTTTCATAACTGTTAATAGCCCGACTGTTCAAAAGTTTGCTGACCCCTGTTGTAAACTTCCCATGAGTCTCTTTTTGTCGCCTTCTTCCAGTGCTATGCAATAACTGCAGCACGCAGCTGTACCTATATTGTCTGCAGCGCCGCCTACGTCAGGTAATATGCAACACCAGCAGCACGCAGCTGTACCTATATTGACTTCAGCGCCGCCTTCGTCAAGTGGTATGCAATACCTGCAGCACGCAGCTGTACCTATATTGACTGCAGCGCCGCCTTCGTCAAATGGTATGCAATACCTGCAGCACGCAGCTGTACCTATATTGACTGCAGCGCCGCCTTCGTCAAATGGTATACAATACCTGCAGCACGCAGCTGTACCTATATTAACTGCAGCGCCGACTTCGTCAAATGGTATGCAATACCTGCAGCACGCAGCTGTACCTATATTGGCTGCAACACCGCCACCTTCGTCAGGAGGTATGCAATACCTGCAGCACGCAGCTGTATCTATATTGACTGCAGCGCAGCCTTCGTCAAGTGGTATGCAATACCTGCAGCACGCAGCTGTAATATTGACTGCAGCGCCGCCTTCGTCAAGTGGTGTGCAATACCTGCAGCACGCAGCTGTACCTATATTGACTGCAGCGCCGCCTTCGTCAAGTGGTGTGCAATACCTGCAGCACGCAGCTGTATCAATATTGACTGCAGCGCAGCCTTCGTCAAGTGGTGTGCAATACCTGCAGCACGCAGCTGTACCTATATTGACTGCAGCACCGCCTTCGTCAAGTGGTGTGCAATACCTGCAGCACGCAGCTGTACCTATATTGACTGCAGCGCCGCCTTCAGATCAGAATTTCAGGCAAGATAGAATACCTGTTATGTGAAGAGAACACTATTTAACTACCGACTTTTGAGGACTAAGCAATTACTGTACATTGGCTGAGGATGGTAATTGTCACTGGATTCCTCGATAGCTTAACAACTTCACGTAATTGTAGAATACCATGTTTTATGAAAACCTTAAGCAGAAATGGGCAGTCGAATATTACTAAGCCTCCTGGTCCATATTCATAAATAATTAACTGAACTATCAACGAACATGGAACTATTTTAAAGCTACAAGTTATGAGATACTCTGTTGGATTAAGGAGCAGAATCACTGAAAATATGAGTGGTTTTGCAACTTTACACTCCCCCCAAGTCTGTCACAACACACACACGCCCACACACACGACAGACAGACATACTGGCAGCAGTAAAATGGATATAGTCCAAAAAGATAGCCAAGCACACACGATTACTAACTAGTTCAGTTATGCCAATGATATAGCACGTTTCCGAGTATAACTTCCCAACATTACACTCAACTATTAATTTTCATATACTTAATCGTTTGTATAACTGATGGGTAAGAAAACGACGAGAGGAACAATTTCCTTCGCATTGTAGGTAGGCTAATATTACATGAATATTGGCACAGTAGTTTTGACGTAAAAAGACTATACAAATTACTAAAATGCTTCATTTTTAAATTTTTAAATTAACAAGATACAATTTCGTATCAACCGTTACTGAAAGCCTATAATAGCGATTAGCTGCAAGAGAGAAAATATTAATTACGATAACATGTGATTCAAGTGGTGTAAATGTCCATAGCACACCTCATTTATGTAGACTATCATATACTTCCATATACGCTATAACAGCTAACTTAGAGATACTATGTTTAGTCAAGATACAGTTTTAGTAAAACACCGGAAAAAGCAATACTAATACTACATTATACTAATATATACTAGACTATACTATAGATCATACATCTATGTTGTATGACGCTCTTGTTTGAATCTTCAACGCAGCCAATATTATTTAATCCGAATCCGATAAATACCAATACTATATTATGCAGACCAGCATAAAAAAGTTAAGGAGTCAATGGTCGAGGAGTGAGTAGTGTTAAAATGCATTCTTAGGCCCTTGTAGGCAATTGTAGGCCATACTTTGTATATGAGCTGCTGGGCTGTAGTCCAGAGTGCCAAATCTCTATGGCCATTTTTTACAACATTTTTTGTAGTTTGCAAAATAACATACATCATAGAGCGAGGCGTTGATCGCTCCAAACCCGGGTCTAACAGTTTGACAAACATATTGAATGGTTCAGATAATAGTACCGGTACATAATAGTTTACCTGAATATTTTCCTGTTGATTTTCTTCCTCTGTAGATTCCTTGATTACGTTGTTCAACTCTTGTGCTATCTAGAAACAGAATAAATCATCATTGATATTTTTAGTAATTATTTGTGGATTAAAAAGCTCTACCCAATCAATGAACTTAATACGTTTTTCCTTTAAGAAAACCTAAGGCATACCATGTTGTTTCAGAGTTTTTAGATTCAATAACGTATACTCTTTGAATTATGATAATGGCGTAGATGGTTTACATGTTTTCACAAATAGTCCATTCATTTTAACTCTGATAATATTTTGTAACTCTTTTTCCTGATCGTATTACGACATTTTATAAGGCAATGTCCTGCACCTAAAACATAAATTTGTTGAGCTTGATAAACCCTTAAAATGGGATATGAAAATTTATTTTGCTGCACTAACAGTGTTATTAGCCATGACAAATAATGTATCTGAAGTGCCAGACAATCTATGATATTTCATATGCATTAAAGTTCAGTGCATAAAAATGTTTATTTGGGTGGAAGAGTATTAATGTTAGCGTGTGAATATTAAGTGTTAAAACACTCAAATCTCTTGTATCAGCTTCAAGATTAAAGGTGAAATAATACCTGATTCTTTTCTAAGTGTTAGTCTATGGAAGAATCGCTTTTAATGTGTTAAGGAATGGACTATCGAATAATAGTCATAGGTAGATGGAAATGTAACAACTTTATCCATATTACATTGTTTTTAGGAAACCAAAATAGGAAAAAAAACATCCCTTATTAATGTTATTAGTTTAAAAACACACCAAAAGAATTGACCATGGTCTACCTCAAAACCAAATGTCTGCATTACCTACTTACTCTTTGAATATTATAACGCCTGACGACTTAACAAGAATGGTCACAAGGAATTAGGAGTAAGTAGTTTATGGTTTGGAGTTTTAGAAACCAAGCGAAGAATGCTTCTTTTGTAATTCTAGCAGTTTGCAAAGTAGAATGAAGGTATGATATAAAATATATTTTGACCGATTCGCCCGGTGTCTAACCTAAACCTAGATAGACAGACTCTTACAACTGGGATACAACATCGTCCTCCGCAACTATGCCTAAGAACACATGCTTTTGCGTAGAGGCAGACCACACCCTTGTAAGCTCTACTATTAATTAAGGCAAGTTGTTGTTATTCACCAACACATTTGAGCGAAGTGAGTAGAAGTGGAAGCAGAAGCGATGTGAGCTGTGTAGACAGCAGCAGGAGGTACCTGGAGACTCTGCCATAGATGGACGAGGTCTGTGGTGGAGGGGAGGGATACTGGCCGTGAGGAGGCGCTGAACAGTGAAGGGAACAGCTTCCTGAGGGGTGACAAGTCAATGGTCTCCTCCTAGAGTCAGGGGTGGGGTTGGATATACAAAACAACACAACACACACAAACTGTGTGTAGAGCCTGTAAACGACCTCTTGTACGGATATGAGAAATGGTGCTATATATGGGCTGCATTGTGCATTATATATGTAGAAGTAAATACAAGCACTCGGACACATAGACAGACTTGGTAGTGAAACATGTGCATGGCTGTAGTGATGGCGAAAACAATAAGTTTCAAACCTCAAAACTGAAACCAAAACTTAAAAGAAATTCAAATCTGGGATCTCGAAATAAATTGAACTCCTGCCACTGGCATAGTAACATGAATGAATACGAGATAAATTCAAACTTTTAGTACTGTAGTTTTACTGATATGCTTTGAATAAATATCGATACGAAACTGTATTGTACATATAGTGGGGTCGTATAGCTGCATATGATGGCAGAATATTTCAGTTCTGGCAGAGAGGCTGCAATTTTAGGTGGTTATAGTATAAAAGTTTCTGAACCTAAAACCGCCCAGACCCCAATTTTTAAGGACCTCGGTTGTCCATAATGACGTCATAAAATGGCGGCCGTAAGAGGATGCTGGGTCCCCATGAATTGGCTATAATGACCGAATGCCTGAACCGATTTTCATGAAATTTGGCACACAAGTGATTGAATACATTATCTCGGGCTGGGTTGAAAATGGTCAAGTTTCATCAAGTCATTTCAAAATGGCGGCTGTTGAAAACTAAAAAAAATATGAGGAAAATAATTGTGAATTGTTTTATACAGGGTGAGTTTTAAATGAGTTCCCCCCTACTTTTTTATACATTTCTTAAGATATCAACTCCAAACCAGGTCAGATAATTGTAGAGTAGCGAGTACTTCATTTTGACTGGGCTTTATTTTATCCGTTTTTTGTTATCAAGCTTTCTTGACAAAATATAACAAGTATTTTGATTTAAAATGTCAATATTTCAAAAACCAAATATGACAATGAAAAACGGATTGCAGCATTGAATTCAACATAAAAAAGTAGTTCACAATGATGGGTCACAACACCACCTTCATATTTAAAATAATTTATCACACTTCAAAATGGCGGATCCAAGATGGCGGCTGAAAAAAATACATCCGTCATAACTGAGTGAAAATAGGTCAACAATGAATGGTGGTGTCCAGTTATCTTTATCTAGCACTATTTTGAGATTATGGCCTTAGTTTGTAAATGCACATTGTTATAATGGACTAAAAATAAAGTTATAAAAAGTTCTCATAACTTTAGAATGGATCAACATTTTTTTAAACGGATTGCAGCATCGTATTCAGCGTAAAAGTCTTGTTTAAAAACGGTGGGTCACAACCCTACCTTTACATTTGAATAAATAACTTTTTATCCAAAATGGCGGATCCAAGATGGCGGCCAAAAATTTATACCCAGTCAAAATGAAGTACTTGCTACACTAGAATGATCTGATATGGTTTAAAGTTGATAACTTAAGAAATGTATAAAAAAGGTAGGGGGGAACTCATTTAAAACTCACCCTGTATAAAACAATTCACAATTATTTTCCTCATATTTTTTTTAGTTTTGAACAGCCGCCATTTTGAAATGACTTGATGAAACTTGACCATTTTCAACCCAGACCGAGATAATGTATTCAAGCACTTGTGTGCCAAATTTCATGAAAATCGGTTCTGGCATTCGGTCGTTATAGCCAATTCATGGGGACCTAGCATCCTCTTACGGCCGCCATTTTGATGACGTCATTACGGACGACCGAGGTCCTTAAAAATTGGGGTCTGGACGGTTTTAGGTTCAGAAACTAGTATACTATAACCACCTAAAATTGAAGCCTCTCTGCCAGAACTGAAACATTTTCCTGCTACCCAACCTGACTAATAATATGTCCTTTTCACATTATAATTGGCTTGTCTCATCAGTGTTGGGTTTAAAACTCTAAACTTGCTTAATACACACTGTATGCCAACGATTTCACATTAATGATAAATCATGTTAAATATATTCTGGGCTGCTGAGCGCAACTGCAAGGAACCAAATACAATCAGTATTCATACCCTACTACTGGAATGACAGTTAATATTACTGAACAGTCTTCTGATGTTCTGCTGTGACTTCTGCGACGCGTTTCGTCAGCACAATGAAATAATAAAAAACACAATTTTTCATTACGTCAATAAAGGTGACGAGTACAGTCTATGCGTTGCCCACATTGCAGACATTGGTTCGTAACTGTAAATGTTTATTTGTTCAAGCACTCGTTCCTCAAACACACTTGATGGTTAAGTGCAAACGGTTGCGTCGGCTACGGTTGAAACGAAACTTGTACAACACATAATATAATATGTATGCAGAAGGTCATTAACCATTGCTCTACACATAGGCTATAATTTTTGATTTATGTCTGGGTAAATCCAGCTACTGGCTTCCAACATGTAACACACCAACACTCAGACTACACAAGATCATGTTTGTATTTGATCTTTATACAGACATAACACTACAGGACACTCATCAACAAGAAGTCAACAGCTGACTTTGAAGTTCGAGGGGTCATGCAACAAAAAGGCAATGCAGTGTAGTTCATGTGTGTGTAGGTAGACAGAACTGCAATCATAACATTCATAAAATGAACAACAATTTATTCTTGTAATGCTTAGAGTTAACCTGTGTTTTGTTTTCTACCAAATTATATAACTTACACAACAATATCGAATACCTTAGCAAATAAAATTGCTGTTATAATGTTTTTAATATCCATGAGTAATATAAATGCCTTCATAGGTAGCTTTATACTTGTAATAATACAAATCTTAATATGTATAGTTATTTTATAATATTTATAATTCAATTTGTATTTATATATCTATAATATGTATAGCTAGGCCTACGGATATCATAGTCTAGAAAGTGGTCGTCTAAAAAACGCCTTAAAAATATACATCTGTGACGTGTAAAAAGAATATTTAAAGAGGTCAATTGACCAGTATTGTATTGGAAGCAGATTAGCAAACGACACATAGCCTACATTCTGAACATGCATGGACACACTTAGACACCTCAGCAAAGGCAGTGGTCCAGAAACTCTCTCCTACAGTCCAGTGAGGTGGCAGTTACACTTTCCACTGTGTGCTTTATAGTTACCTTATTACAATCACGACCTTCTAAATACGCAACATCGGCCATGTTGTCGTGTCATAACAAGTATTCGTGTATTAATTCGATGTATTAGCGTATGACAATTTCGTCACGATTTGAACAACATATTATTATGGTCTGAATAATTTTATATTTTTAGGATAATGTCAAGGTTTTCAAATAAATATTCCTTGAAATATGTACATTTGTATGTAAAGTAAGTAATAATTGATTAAATGCAATGTCAAATTTCTGGCAAATTTATAATTTTGATGATTAAAAAAGCTCTTATTTTCAGAAACACACATAACTGCATACAAAATGAGGATGTAGATGTTATTTATAGTTTTTTGAGTGGAGCGAAGCGAAGCTTGGTCGACTTCAATGCAAAATTTCTAACACATTAACTCAATAACCGCTGAACATATTTTAGCCAATCTTACTAAGGTTGTTTTGTCAAATGTTTGGAAGGTTTAGACGAAACCAATTTCAGTTTTTGATAATGCATATGTATTTTGAAAGTAACTCATAGTTTTTAAATTTTAACATTGGCCTTACGGATTGCCATGATGGTTACAAAATAACGACGTAAATGTAAACAAAACAGGGGATCATAGCATATGTTAAAATCAAGCCACGACCTAAACACAGTACAAATAAAAAAATAAAAGGAAAAATATTTGGATGATGACCACTGATCAAATAATACAAAAAGTCTCAAGTTTACATTTAAGCTACAATTTGCAAAAGACCACTGATCAAATAGGTATATTATTTTACAGATTTGATTAACATAGCTAAATAAGGTTATAACAAATAACATTTATCTTATGTTGTTGGAAATTAAAACAGCTACTTGATTCTGCAGTTTAAAAACTAAGTATTCTCAAATCAATATTTAAACTAAATAGGCTATTATGAACATGCTTTCTTATTATTTACTTTGAAATATTTTTGATGATATCATCGTGCTGGAAACACACTTGTTGTATTGATTGTTGTGTTGGCAACGACTTGGGGTATATTATTATGCCCTAGAAGGATAAATTAATTTTTGCGTTTTGTTTTACAAGAAAATACCTAATTCACATAAGAGTGTCATATTAAGTAAAATTTCAGAATGCGTTCTCAAAACTGCCTGATATTTGTAGAAGATGAAGACAAGCAATAAATGCCCGAAACGCACGAACAACAACTACTTCTGGCAATGTTTTGAGATAGTTGAATGTAGAACACTTGCTTGAAAACATTGCTTATAATAATTACGTTAAATGTACAAAATTTAATAAAACAAACCTCATAAGGTATGGTAACAACTATTTGTGGAATTCTCTAAAAGCAGGCAAGTCTTTAAAAAGTTGCATCTGCTAATCGTATGGATCCATGCAGGATTATTTCTGTAAAATAATGAGAAAATGTCGATTGGTTTAGATTCAAGGTCGGGTGCAACCAAATTTAACTGTGGGTATACCAGATGAAATTAAGCAAACCCAGGAAAAATACCGATACAAAGGACATGTATTTAATATCTACATCTTTACTTATGAAACTTGTTATAGATGGTGATAGTTCTGATCGAAACTGATAGGTTAAATTGATGGAATAGTTGTATTTTGTATTATATCAATAAAATGATTTTATTTATAGCTTTATTGCTTCAAACGTGATCGCTCCGCTCAACTGGCTTACATTGCTATGAAAGAAATCTTAGTATATATATTGTACATATATATATTGTATATATTGTACAGTATATATATTGTATATATTGTACAGTATAAAGTAAATGTAAGTTTGCAATTTCATAGGGAATTTATTACCCCACCAGGATTGCTAAGTATTCATTTTAAATATATATGATAATGTTGTGATTGCAATAAATGTTCTATGTAACTTGTCCAAACAATGAATGTGTCAACGACGTATAGAATAAATGGAAAACAACCGTAGTTTGAAAAGTGTCACATCATAATCTCTTGTCAGTGTTACCACTATATGTTGTATCCATACCAATGTCATCAGTGTTACCACTATATGTTGTATCCATACCAATGTCATCAGTGTTACCACTATATGTTGTATCCATACCAATGTCATCAGTGTTACCACTATATGTTGTATCCATACCAATGACATCCACGTTTCGTTTTTTTTATTTTACTGTTATGCAAAAAACAGATATTTTTATAAATTCTTCACACACTGTGTGATTTCAATCATATTTTGACGGATTTCCAAAAGTTGTTATATTAAAAACGTACGCGAACAGCTGTCAGATACTGTAACACCAAATCTCACCTGTCTCTGAGAGGAAGGACCTGTATAGTCTGCTAAGGACGAGGTGGAAGTTTGTCTGTCTAGCTTGTTAGGCATCTCCTGGCCAGAGATCACTTGCTCTGCAGGTTCTGTCTGGGATAGATCGATCACTGCAACAGGCTGTGGCACGACAAACAATTAATTATAACTCAGTGGAACACTCAAGATGAATTTAATCATTGTAAAAGGTAAATGGGAGAAGAGAGTGATCTTAGCCTGAGTTGCATTCTACATCTAAAACAACTCCCTGGAACATGTCTGGCAACACAGCAGTTTATCAATCTACTTGTTATACAAACCAGGTTAATATTTGACATTTTAGAACAGTTTAAATTTATAATAATCTAAATCGTTTCTCTATATTTGTAAAATATATCAATTAAGGTTTTAATTTCTAGGATTATGAACCAATGTGCATAAATGAACAAACCTGGCCTTTATAAATATATGTTGATCAAATTTGGCAAATTTAGTTAAATCATCCCGTACTATTCTTATTTGGTCAAAATAACACTATTTTTCGTACAGCATTAAAAACAGTTTTAATGCATGCATTGCGGGTCTAAAGTACCATTTTTACTCTCTAGGGAGCAAAAATCATTTTTAGTCTCTAGGAAGTAAAAATCAGATGTTGTAAACAGTTATAAATTTTGATTGTTGTGGCAATCATATCGATTGAAATTATTTATTGATTGATTTATTAGGTAAGGTTTGTTTTAGCCTATTGTTGTCGATTGCTCGACACATCGATGGTATAATATACTGTAACACAATCGTAATACACGAAACGATTGAATCATCTACTCTTACTAAACAGCTGCTTGTTTCCATTAGCAAATTAAATTGAAAACAAGTTAGAAGTAGTTTTGAGAGGTTACTCTAAATTATGTGTTGTAACATAGTTTGTTCAAATAAAGGTGCAATATGACGAAAAATATAGTTTACCACACGGGCAAAAAGTGACTTTCTTACCCTCGCGCATTTTCCGTCCTCGGCTTCGCCTTGATCGTAAAACTTGACCTCTGGTCAAAAGAGTCATTTTAGGCCCTAGTGATAAAATATAATAATTATTCCTTGACATTGGCATTGTATGGATAACTTTATAAAAGTGGGGAAAAATAATAAGTAAAAGAATAGAGTAGAAGCCGAATCATTATGTTGTAATTTAAAAATAATATTTTTTTTCTACAGTCACCCGACAAAGTGGGCTTCCTTGCACAGATTATAGTACAGAAAGCCTTATTTTGGCGTACAGTTTTTACTTAGGGCACAGTTTTAACTTTGGAGCACATCAGTATTCCAACCAAACAACACAAAACAGCGTGCTTTTATCATACACGTAATCTGTGTACGCTTGAAAATAAGTTGGCAACACTTAATGATATTACGAATACGATCAGCTGGTGCATCGTTTCCCATTTCGTTCAATGTTTGGATTTAACCTTACCTAAACACGTGTTGTACAGTCTTTGAAAGACTAATTATTTATATGATTCATAGTAAAAAATATAACGTGTAACACGAGCGCAAACTGCCTTTGCTGAACACGAGAGCTAGTTACACAAATAACTATTGTAAATTTGTTTAAGGGGATTGTTATATTCAAGCAGATAATTTTATAGACACAAGAATAACATCTGATTGTACAAACAGCAGTCGGGAGTTAGAACGAGTTCCTCTTGCGTCAAAGAATAGTCTATACTTGTTGAACTCTTGTTACAAAGGCAACAGTGAAGTTCTCTGTGCAAGAGCTTACAAACGATTTAACACTTAAAACTGGACCCGTGTTTTAGCACATTCAGTCCAAACATGAAAATTGTGTATTAAATAACAACAAGGATATGTTTGGTAAACTAAAGGCAAATATTATAATTTTTCTTTTTTCTCAGTGTAAAATATACTTAGTGAGCTACAGGGAAAGAGGCCTTACTATAATCGAAACATTTGGCTTATTTATATCTTTTTTATGTGGCATTTATAACAACCAATGATTTATAATACATCACATTACACTTAGTTTTAGGATTCGTTTTATCTCACAATTGACTTCCAAAATGATTTTTTTTAGTAGATACACTTAATAATTATAATTTTTCTTTTTTCTCAGTGTTTATCAGAATTTTTCCGCGATCGCGGAAGACAAAAGACGCCGGATTACTGGTGTGGCGGAGTGGCGAAGTGCCGGATTAGAGAGGGTCTGCTCTATGTAGACCTATATGATTTTATGTTTTAAAAATACGCTTACTAATAATTAGTAAGCGTATTTTTAAAACATAAAATCATTTAGGTCTACATAGAGCAGACCCTCTCTAATCCGGCACTTCGCCACTCCGTCACATCAGTAATCCGGCGTCTTTTGACAGGTGAAGTCTTCCGCGATCGCGGAAAAATTCTGATAATCACCCACGGCCAAGTAGGCATCATCAACCACTCCCGCGGTCACGGACACGTCATCGTCGTCTTGCGCGATCGCGTCAAAATCATGAGCCTCTCTCGCGGACGTTTAGACGTTATCATCGCCTCCCGCGGTCACAGAATCGTCATCTTCATCATGTCCGATCGCGGCAACTGCTGTTTTCGTTCCTGCGATCCTCGGAGACGTTTTTTAAGTGCTAAAATGCACTTGTTGCAGTGTATATTGATAACATTCCAGTAATCCGGCATTTTCACTAACCCGGCAGTATCACGGTTCTATATCTGCCGGATTACTAAGAGTCTATTGAACAGGGTTAGGCAAAAGTCGGAACACCCCCAGTTAACTTTTTAACGCGTTGCAGTAGGAAAACCAAAGTCGGCACATGTTTACAATGCTCATTTTTGTATCCGGGGCAAAGTTGTGACTTTGATGAAAAAGTGCAGTTTTATATGTTTTAAACATGTGCCACGTTTGGGTTTCCTACTGCAACGCGTTAAAAAGTTAGCCCAGACGTTTTTCCAGACGTTTGCCTAACCCATAACATTTTCATGAGTGCATCGGCACCACTTTTATACCATAAATAAGTGTCCACAGTCGGAGTTTAGAAAACGGTCTGTTATCAAGTCAAGTGGTACAGTTTAATTTAATTTCTAAATTAAATGGAGGATGAAACAACAATTTTACGGCAGTTTCAAGGAACCAAAATTGAATATTCTGCATCTTGACCCCGTTGTAAGGCACGGGTATAGCGGCTAAACAACTATAAACACTATCATTTACCCATAGAGTACCTGAGGGTCGGTGGGTTCGGCTACCACAGCCTGCTCGATCTCAGTGATGATCTCTTTCAATGCCTCCTTGATGTTCTCTTGCTGGATCTCCTGGCCGGAGGTGGCCGGTGGTTGTTCTGTTAGCTGCTGTTGCGGTTCTTGTGGTGGCGCTTGCTCAGGCTGTGCCCCCGGTGGCTCCTCTTCCATGGGTGCCAATTGCTGCTCCCCACCCCCGGCTGTATTCTCCTATGTATCACACTTGGAATGTGCAAAAAGTACTTTGGTTTTGACTCAACAAACGTTTCTCAAACAATCCGGCAAACGCATGGTTATGTATAAGAAATTTAAAACATTTTGTTTTTCTCCTTTAGAAAAGTCATAATTATGCATCTTTGTTTATTACATTCATTTTATTTCAAAGGTTAGTGTGAGAAGCTGTTAGTGATGTCACACAGTATTGATGATAATTTTTCGTCTCTCTATATGAGAATATAAGAATATATCGAAACAGCTCATCTCCGTACATATGATCTATCTAAAAATTGTCGATTTCCAATATAACAAAACGTATGATTTTGCATTTCCTAAACATTAAATTACTTTTCCTACAGTCACCCGACAAATTTGGCTTCCTTGTACTGTTTATAGTACAGAAAGCTGCTGATTGCTGCATATTTATACTTTGTCGTACGGTTTAAACTTTGTCGTACGGTTTATACTTTGGCGCACATCAGGATTCCTACGAAACAACACAGAACAACGTGGTTCTATTATGCACGTAATCCGTGTACGCTTAGAAATAGGTTGGCAACACCTAAAAATATTAAGAGCAGCTGATTGACCATTATAACTACGATTTAACCTGTCATTTTGTGTTTATAGTTTCGGTATTTCTGAACTTTCTGGACTTTTCTTTTAAACGTTTTTAAAACATTCCTACGATCTTAATAAACAAGAAAATAACTTTAAAGCATTTTTTTAGGCGCGGAAACCACTTCAAATTACTAAAACATACGGAACTATATTCTCAAGTCGCGGAGCACATTTCTTGCCGAGGAAAAATAGCGGAGTGATACGGACCGGGTACTACTTTCTCTAGGGCACCTATTTGTGTTGCCAGCTGAACCTAAAAACGTGTTGTATAGTGTTTGAAGGACTAATTATTTATACGCTTTATAGTGACTGTAGGAAAAATATAATGTGTAACACGAGTGCAAAAGGCCTTTGCCCTCTAGTTACACAAATAACTATTTCCTAGCCGAAAAAGTGTTCGTTTAACTAATTTTTTTAAACCAAGAAGTTTTGAGATTTTTTTTGCATCGTGATGAAAAGTACCGTTTAGTAGGCTAATTGTCAAAAAATATTATGGCTCGATAGTTGTAAACCACAATCTAATCCCGAAATAGGTCACTTTCTAGACTATAGTCTGTTCAAAAAATGTAGGCGGATTAAGGGGGATTTCCTGGGTTCCCCGCCACTTATTTAAGTGTAAAGTATATGTCAGCTAATCAGCTGTCGGTTGTTTTTCAAAGTTAAGATGTGGTTGAGGGGATGGAATCGCTTCCCCTCAAACCGCCTACATTTTTTGAACGATGTACAGTTGTGATATACTTTGGCCTTACTGTTCTTTAGTGAACTTTCCACGCAAGTATTTATTTCGAAAAACAACTGTATGTCATTACATTCACTGTACGGTAACGAATTTTGCCTGGCATCGACTGATTGTATTTCTTTTAATCCACGGCCGTTTTTTTTTTTTTTTTTTTTTAATAGTCAGTTCATAGAATTGAAAATATTTGCTTTACCGTGTTGTTTACTTACATTACAGTATTTGTTTGCAGCGCTAGAAACAGGCAAATGAGGTTCAAGGATTGAGAGAAAAGTAGTAAAATTGTTAATAGTTCGAACGTAAATTTCTCAGCTTGATAAGACCTATTCAATGAGTCGTTGCATAACTATAAGTGGCAATGAGAGGTTATTAACGAAAACATAACCTATCTTAGAAGTTATGAGTAGTGTTGGTAGTACTGTAATTAAAAAAAAAAAAAACGGTCGTAGGTAAAGTAGTGTACGCAACTCGCGTAAATAGTCTTTACGCGATCGTGTCGTAAACTATTATTAGTTATTGGAAACCTCATATATTTTGTAAATAGCCTACAAATAATTAATTATCAACGTAACAAAATTGATGCTTAAGTTATTTTTAAAGATAAAATTATAAATATGTAAATGCTAAGTAGTCTAATATTCTAAAGGAAGTAACTGGTTTAACAAAAACATAACCTATCAAAGAAGTTACGAGTAGTGGTTGTTAAGTCCTCAAGTCGGTGGGGACAGAAAACTGATATTATAATTGATATCTCAAGAGTAATCCTGTTTACGATTTAAGGTCATTGGAATATTCTTATATTCGTTTGCGTATATTTTTCAAGACTCTCTTCTTTAACAAAACATTGATTTTAACCATTTAAATGATCCTCAGCAAATATTTAAATATGTAGTGTGGCCGTAAACACATTGACCATCCCATTGTCATTCCTACTTTGGCAATCGTCTGAGCAAGTGGTAAATGTCAGGATTAAAATGATTTTCTTTAGATTTTTCAACTTAAAATATTGCTGCCTAACTAACTCTACAATGACATTTCGTCAAGGAAATGTCTAACTATTGCATTTCCAATGGTAGAACGATTGAAGCAAAGTTGAATCCGAAGGGAAATTACATTGATGAACTCATGATGAATGTTTGTTAAAATATTATTATTTTTTAAGTATTAGAAATAAGCGAATTTTCAAAGGGTCATAAATCTCAGAAGAGCAATCCGAGGATTGACTGAGAATTTTGTTGATTTTTAAATTAGATTCATATTGACTACTGTACTGGCCTCTTTATATAACATATACAGGAAAAGGAACGATGGTTAACTGTAATTGTCCTTGTCTATATAGTAAGGCAAAATCGTTAATTTATTAACGATGGCCGAACAAGCCTCTTTATACTCATTAGTGTTTCGTTGATTTTTGTGGTATATTTCGCCATCCTTATAAAAGATGAGAAAATAATAAAAATTACCTTTTGAACCAGAGTTAAGATTTTTTATACATAATTAATGGAATATCTTCAATATTGGAAGTTTATCTTATCTTATCTCATTTTAAGGTTAACATATCTAAAGTAAGGTTAAAAATCAGGAGTAGTTGTAATGTATGTAATTTTTACATCGAAAGAGAAACCTCCATAGAGCAATGATCGTTTTATGGTTATAAACGACGTGGCCATTGTTGCATTTTTGTTCGGGACACCTTTGTCTTCAGTAATTTGTTGTATATTTTAAAATAAAATATTTATTAAATATATTACACATCTAATTGCTTTATCTTTTACAATGCTTAGTCACGATATTCCTTCAATCATTTCTGATTTTAAAATACTACAAGCTGCTATACCCGTGCTTTGCAACGGGAAGAAAATGTGACCTAGAGAGCTATTAAAGTAGTGCTGGTGTGTGTTTTAAAATACAGCAACTCTATGATTTAGTTTGAAAACATAAACTGATTTAGAAGCGTAAACCTACTTACTTTCAAACCCCTACTTTTGATGTTAATAGATCCATAAGAATATGACAACATACCTTAGTGTAGCAATAGCATCAATTGCTTCATATTGATGCTTCATGAATTACATGTTTTACCATAATTCTTCAATTTAAGTCAAGTTAAAACATGAAACTTTGAGCAATACTTTACAAAACTTATATACAACCTCACTTTTAAACCAAACATAACCCTCCTCAGCGTCACAAACATCTTATTCGAGTAAATAAACAAACGCCAGTTCATTGTACTGACCAGCTGTTTCATTAACTAAATTAAATTAAATCATTTAAACATTGGAAGCATGCCAGGCGTAGCCCTTTGGAAATCAGCCTGTGGGGCAGAGCCCTTAGGAAATTTGTCCATATCAATACTTTTCGGCAAATCTACACACTCTAAGCTTAATTTTGATGTGCCATATGCCTATATTTTTATTTGGTAAATGACCTTAACAGTTTACATAAAATTTGATTGTATCACTTTAATAATATAATAGATTGCAAATGCGTACTGTAGATCTATTAAAATAATAGAGCAGTTGAATGTGTTGAATATCGATTGTAGTACGTGTTGTGGTGACGTATGAGTGCCTGGGTGAGTGAAGCAGTTAAGACAGACAGAGGAGAAGAGGGATGTGAGCTTCAAAATGTTTCAAGACGTGTCAAAAGATAGTTTTATAAATAGGAATGTGGTGTCACAGTTGACTGTCACAAACAGTAACGACCTCAAATTATTATTGTAAAAAGATTAACAATATCAACAGATTAGATCATCCCACTATAGAAACAAATAATGAAACTTTTAAACTGCCAGGAAACATTTTGAAGCTTCAATAAATAACAATCATTGACCTCCAACATTTTATTGTACTACTTTACATAGAAATACACTTCAATCTTTACAATCAAATTGTACACAACATTCCTATGTATAAAAATGTCTTTTAACGTAAGCTCTGAGTGTTAGAATTCGTAAAATATTTGAGGATGAGCTGTTTGTGTAGTGATTTAAAAATTGTACAGAATTCAAAATTGTACAGAATTTGAGATTGTAATACACGAACTAATATGTTTAACTTTTTATAAATAGTATTCAACGGTTACAATCTTTGTTTCTACTGAATAAAACTATTATAGATTTAGTATTTCAAAAAGGATAAACAATTGTGATTTTATAGAGCACTAAGCAAAGAAGCAGATTACAACATCACAAAATTGCTCAACCCAAGCAACTGATTAATCACTGTTAAACAGAAAAGCCTAAAACTATCACAGTATTCTGTTTAAAAAATAGCAAATACAAAAGGGAAATGCTTTTACGTATAACCGTTTCAAACAATATAATAACTTTTTACTTATTAGTTGCTTCTTAATTTAATTCATACCAACCGTTACATTTAGAAATCACAAATAATAAGCATAAATTATAAAAACACAAGCCACTAAATAAAATAATAATGACTTAGATCTAATAGGAATAGTAGTTTGAATCCATTTTTTATATCACATACGGTGAATTTAAAACAAAACTTTATAAAAAGCGTTCTGATACAAAATCCACAATGTAGTACAAATAGAATGTTTGATTGTCTATAAACAAGGTTTGGTCAAAATTGCCCTAGAATGTTACCGTTCCTCAGTCCATCATTAGTCCACACCTGAAAATATTTGGAAATCTATTTTTTTATTAAGAACACAAGTAAGCGATTTGGGTGTTTTTTCAAACTTGTAAAAGATTGTTTGGTAATGATTATTTAGGAATGTGTTTTATGTGACATAAAACATCAGATGTGTGGTAGAGTAGAGACAATATTAAAGGTAAGTCACGCTGTACTGTGTGTCCGTGTATGTGATCGCTAGTATGAGTGTGTGTGTGTGTGGACAGAAGACGACGGACTAAAGGCGACAGAGGCGGCACAGTTGAGCTGTTATTGGGCGAAGCGAGGCGACGGTCCATCACCCGAGGGTGATGCTCTTTACCTGGGATTCAGAGCTGCTACTGAGGGAACTGGAGGACACCACGGAGGTGGAGGACACCTTCTTGGACACGACCACGGAGGACGAGGACATGACACTCTCAGACACCATACGTGATGACTGCTCAGAAGAGAAGGAGCTCTCCTTGGCCAGAATGTGTCTGTTGCCGACGTCCTTCTCCACCTGTGACACACAACATTGTATCACCTATTAGACTAAACAATATTGATAGTCCTGGGCACTCTCAGACCCCATACGTGATGACTGCTCAGAGGAGAAGGAGCTCTCCTTGGCCAGAATGTGTCTGTTACTGACGTCCTTCTCCACCTGTGACACACAACATTGTATCACCTATTAGACTAAACAATATTGATAGTCCTGGGCACTCTCAGACCCCATACGTGATGACTGCTCAGAGGAGAAGGAGCTCTCCTTGGCCAGAATGTGTCTGTTGCCGACGTCCTTCTCCACCTGTGACACACAACCTTGTATCACCTATTAGACTAAACAATATTGATAGTCCTGGGCACTCTCAGACCCCATACGTGATGACTGCTCAGAGGAGAAGGAGCTCTCCTTGGCCAGAATGTGTCTGTTGCCAAATAGCAACAAAAAAAAAAAAAAAGGTCGGTGATTCTTACCACCCTCTCAAAAACTAAAAAAAATACCGTTTAAATTTAATTTCAATTTGTTTGATCGTTTGAAAGAGATCAGAATAATGTGGATACCACGCAATTGAACCTAATTACAGTCTAGACCTAAACCCTGGGAGAAATCAAGAATGCTTTGAACATATTCTAGCTATTATCTTCAAGGACGCTATAGTAAGATAGGTCTCTCTGTTACTATTGGAATTTAAGAAATGAGGTTTTAGTAAGGACTTTCAAGTCAATGCCTCAACTTGAAGAAGAGTTTTAGACATGTGATTTAATAAAGGTTAATAATAAAACTCAACTTAGAATTCATTTGGAGGGGTTCACTTTCATCAGTGTTAATCTTGTATTTTTTTAAGAGAAGACAACCTTGTGGTCCTAAGTTCAAAGAGTTCTATTGTTTTCCTTCGAATAATTTGTTATTTTCGTGCATTTAAATGTTACTTGCATAAATTTACAAAATTCATCCATATTGTGTTAAGTCATTGTAGGCTGTAAAAAACAAGGTACCGGTACCTAATGGATTGACCTTAAGTTTTAACCATTCATATTCTGGGTTTCAATACGTATTGACAAACGATATAAGACAGCTGAGTGCTATTGTTTTCCCCACCACAGACTGACCGCTCTTTAAAATAACTGCTCCTGAAATAATTCGAGCACCAGAGAGAGACCAGAGCGGCGGCGCGGTGCGGGTTAGTGGACTCTGGACACCCGATATTGCGCGAGATAAGGCTGTTGGACGATTGATTACTGAACAGCTCAATCACTACAACATGCACGGGCTGTTTGGGAGTTAGTGGTCCTTTGCAGCTTCTATGTATAACGTATAACGATGGTCAAATACATTAACAATCCATTTAATTGAGAGTTTAAACATTGCTGATGGTTTGAAACTAAGCAGAACTTGAATATTTAATTATCACTTGTGTAGCCAGCCGACTTGTTGTATACAAAACTGACTACAGAAGCTAGGTTTTAAAGAATATTAGTAGAGCGAATATGTCATTTAAACCTAGCTAGGTTTTAGATGTAGGTAGGTAATAATTGATTAAAAATAACATAGTTGAGTAATCCCCTCACAGAGACAGTCTTATATTTTATTTTCTCCACTAATTTTTGTAATTGTGATCGTTTATGTGAATTAATTATGTTAGTTTACCATGGTAAGTTGACTTTTCACACTGGCATGGTTAAATTGTTGACGTACTCGACAGAAATCAGAAAATTACAACAGTGCTCCATGTTGGTGGCTCATTTCGACTAAGTTACTTGTAAATACACTACAAATATGATATAGAATGGAATGTTTGGCCGAAAATTTATAAATTCAGATATGATTGACACTTAAAATATTAAATACGCCATTTTAGTTGCTTCGTGCTCACGTAAATAAGTGAACATTTTAAGGGTATAGATTGATGATATTATTTAAAGATTCAATGTTTTGGATTGTGAAGACATTAAATTTAAATACGTATTTTTACTAAATATAGTTGTTATTCGACAGAACGTACCCGAGAGACTAACCGACACCTTTTGGTAATAAAAATCGGTTGCTTTGATTAGACTAGAATTCTACCTTGAGTAAATTAAGCTCAGTAAAGCCATTTAATTATCGTAAGTGTTGTTTGTAGCTGTGCCAAGGTTTGTGGCTCAGGCCCTTGGCTCAGGCCCTCAATAACAGTAGTGGCATTGTTTAGATTAAGTCTGCAGTAATTAATTTGACCTCATGCCTAGTCCAGCTAGCAGTGGACACGCTAGAGTAAGAATACATCTTCCGTGTTATTGTTGGCCATACGAATATAGCTGGAATAGTTGCACTATAGAATATTCACAGCTAGGAAAACAGTTAATACTCGTATTTAAACATATTTAAATCTTTTTAAGTATTACAAACACATATTATCTCACAATTTTAGCGTTGCCTGTACATTTGTTTCCATGTACCGAAACTGAATGTGAAACTGATTTTGCATATAGGAATAAACAATTTTTTTTGTATCGAACGCCAGGTGAAAATACGAAATCTATTTAAAACTACGCAGCAAATTAGTTATGTCATATTGTCACTTTCACTTACCACAGAACTGGATGACTCTGAGCTGGCTGACTGTTCTCTGGAGACCAGATTGCCTCCCGCGCCCGTCAGTGACACTTCCATCTTGGGAGTTTCTGTAAGAACAATTATGTGATCATTGTGGAGCCACATTTACAGTGGTTATACATAAACCGAGTGATGTGTATCTTGGAAGAATATCAATATGGTCTCGCTATAAAACCACACAGAAAATGTAAAATATCAATTTAATTTCAAGCCGTTGTTTCTTGCAATAATATTCAATTAGTACTATATTCGTTTGGCAAGGAAACAAATTGAGAGGCAAGTCTTGAACACCACCACCACATGTTGATGTGCTGAGATTTGCCAAGATGGCGCCCAACAGTACTTGGCACTGCCGCACCTGCTATGATGTGTTGTTCCCTGTACCCGAGATTGGTTGTATCTGTTGCATGTCAGTATAAATCAAGACTAGCAAATTAAACCAGCGCCTATACCATTTACCACCTCAACTTTTAACTCGACAATTTTTTGTTTCTTAGTTACGCTTGTTTGCACACCTGTTCCAAAAGGTATTTTGCAATTGTTGAACTGAACCTTTAGACAGAATTCAACGATGAACCCTCCGAAGAAATATCTCTATTGGCATGGGTTTTTTTTCATTTATGTTGAACGAAAACTTGTTCTTAACCAACAAATCAATAAGAGTGCATATTTAGTTATACAAACAATACAATTTAGAAAAGGGAACTAAATTTGGATTTTATTGTAAGAACTTGTATAATGTTTCTAAAAGCAGTGTGAATCTTTTTCACAACCATGGAGACAACTAACTGGCTTTTTAGGTTTTGAAATTATTCTCATTAAAGTAAAAATTTAACTAAATTAAATACTCCCGCCTGCAGACCAAGCGAATTTCCATTTTACTGGTTGGGGTTTCCCTAAAACATCTCCTTAAAAATGTATGTAAATATTAACTTTAAATTAAAGGCGTAACCTAAAAAATTCTATGAGTTTTGTAACGTTACTAACTGTAATAAAAATCTAATGTATGTTTATTAAGTGATAGTATATTTCACTTCAAGGCACGAAAAACGATTGGGTTGGCAGAACTGATCTGCCTGAGAGGAGTACACGTGAATTCGCTGCCGGTTAATCTGTGATTAAATCGTATTAGTGGGCTCTGTTTGAGGAATCTGTTGTTGTACAGTGGTATTTTATTGTTTTTTTGATGTGTTTGAACACTTCAAACGGACCCTGTAAGTAGTTGAATGTTACAAACAGTGTCACTAACCCTACGATAGGCCTGCCAGCGAGAACTGAAACACGACTGCGCATTCAAACTAGAGGTGAGTCGGGACAGCAGTATCTGATACTTTGTATCGGATACTCACCAGTCCCGTGTGTAACTGTTACTCAAAACCAAAAGTATCTGATACTGGAGTACTCGTTTCTACTATTGAGTACTGGTACTGCTAAACCTTCAATCCAGTACCAGGACTCGTCTCGGGTATCAGTTCAGTAGTAGCCTACTCGTTTAAACTTAACTGAGTAGTATAACTGAAAATACATAATCATTTGTTAGTAATAACAAATTCCACAAATATGAAAACTGCTTTCATTGATCACTATAAATCAATAAACTGCTTAAGAACACATAGTAATCATTATGTAAAGGAACTGAGTACTGTCAGTGGTATCACTAATGGTATTTGGTATTATACTGATACAGGAACACTCTACGGGTACCAAATCCCGTCGGCCGTGATGAGTACTCATGAGTACAAAGTAATCATCAAAAGTAACTGATACTCGAGAGTACCAGTACCGGTAGTAATCAGTATTTCGATGTACTCATTTAGCCCATCTCTAATTCAAACCCGCGCATGTCCATCTGTTGCTGTCCCTGTTACCAACCTGACAGCACCAAATAACACTACCCGCTCGGCCACTACTATCCGGCTGCGCCGCCCCGGCCTGAGATGCAACCATCAGAGCATGCACGTGTGGCTGTCTGCCGCTTGTAATCTGCAGGAACTTGGTGAAGTCTGTTAGTCGTCCAGCGATTGTCTTGCTTCCCTGCGTCTCGGAGGACATCTGCGGCCAGGCTCCTGAGTCTGTTTACCAACCTCGAGATCTCACTCCACTCTGTTATTTTTTTGCTTATTCGACATTGACTAGAGAACCCGTGCGGCTCAATGAGCCGCATAGTATGAAACATAACGCCGAGGAAAACGTTATGCTTAAATTCTAGTAATTCTAGTTACATCTTAGAGTTGTTTAAACACCTCTTAGAACACACTTGTTAGAAAACTAATTTTAAATATCTCTATTTGTGTCGTCAAGGTTCACCTACATTATTTCTGCTCTCAGTTTTAACTGATAACTTCTAATGAATGCTAAACGATCTGCTTCAATTCGAGCTAACATGTTGCAACAACGTTTTTCCAGTATTGAGAATTTAAGAAAACTGTTGCCTAGACATCCCCCTAATCAACCGAATTTTCTCCGTAGAGAATCCTGAAAATTGGAATGATATCAACCATTTAATGTGCTCCATTTTTTACCCAAAAACTCTGGGTTATCAACTGGAAAGCCATAATCTGCTTTGAATAGGCTAACGCAGCAACAACCATTGATAGTTTGTTAACGTATTTTAACGTGTTGTGTGTTAGTCACAGTATATGACCCGCATCAGAACGTTCTCACGTTGTTCATTGGGGTTTCTCTTAATAGGCTACCTGTCCCAAAGTTTTGAAGGTATGGATTCATTTGTCGAAATAGGCTGAAGGTTGGATAACTCTGGTAGCTATAAGATTTGGATAGCAATTTTCATTTTCTCTTTTTGAACAGCGTATTTTATTTGCCTCTCCTGAATCATAAAAATAAACTTGACTGTAACTACTCGATCGTTGAATACATAAACACCAATTCCTTCACTTATGTCTAATATTGCCACTAAAATTCAGTCAAAAAAACTTTGTATAAGTTTTTCCGAGGAACTGGCAACATAACCTAGAAGTTAACAAACCATTTGTGTTTTTCCTCAATAAAGTAGAGCGAGTAAGACAAAAGTTTACAATAAAAACATAAGGTCCGCCAAGATTTGGTATAATCTTACTAATTGAACTTATCATTGTCAAGGCCATTATTATTGTTTGTACTAAATTTTTTGAGATCTGTCAGTGTCAGAAGTAAACATTTCTTGCGTGCATTCATTTGATCTGACATTAGGCAAGTTTATTTTACCATCGTGACAACACTATGTGCTTCGTATATTTTTTCACTTCCAAAGTAAGTTGCATAGCAGAACTGGCAAATATTATTCATCTCACCAAGTGAATGTGTATATGGATGTGTATCTGTTAGACCAGGCCTCTCTTTCTCTATTCTCCTTATACGCATAAGATACCTTATTGTCTCCTCCTCCCGTGTTCAATATTTATTCTGTGAACTTCAGGCATTTTCCGTTCTTCCAACAAAACTGATTAACTGTTTAACTTGGTCTTAACCTACTGAATATTAAAACATCAATATTTACTCCCAAAAAGCTAATGAGTTTCTTTTTTATAAACAGCTGTTTTTTTGTTTTTAAATTTGTTCTGTGTATTTCTAATGGGGAAAACCCGACCTTTGAGAGGGTCTCGCGCCCTTAAGAGTAAGCATTTTAAAGTTATAAAACCTTATTGCAAAACTACATATTGAGAAGAATCTTTTGACACCTTAAACGTTGAAATTGGTCCACAAATAAGGGAGAAGTTGCGTTAACAAAATACGGCTTCACGTATTATATATATAGATTTGTTGTTATGTGACTAATACAAACTTTTAATTAAAGTATTGTTGCTTACTTAATTTGTTGATGTTGTGTATAAAAATGAGTTTCTTAGAAAATAGTTTGTTTTTGAACTTAAATTTAGACAGTAAGTCTGAGAATGCTTTAATATCTATAGCTTCAGAGCTCAATTCAATGGTTGTAAATTATCCTGAAGCTAATTGTCATGTTTTAGTTGATGGCATTACACATCTTGTACACACAATGGACAGGGTTACGATAGAAAATAATGACCTTAAGTCAACAAACGATGAGCTGAAGCTTGAAATCTCCCAGTTAAATGATTTTTTAAATAACTTCAAAAAGGACAAGCGTGCGGAGCTAAATAGGTCATTTCAACTTCAGGACACAGTAATTGAGGCCAATGAGGCAATGAGTAAGGACTTAGAGTCATGCAAAATAAGTATTAAAAAGCTACAATCCGCTCTGGATGAAATCAAGGATGAAAACAATTCTTTGAAAGAAGCTCTATCTAATAGTGAAAACAGAACCACGTTTATTGCAAATGATAATGACAAAATTAAAAACATCACCAGCAAAATGAACGATGCTTTAAAAGCTAAAAAAGATCAAACGTTAAAACTTGAAGAACTTGAAAAGTTGGTCAAGCGGCAAAAAACTATGATCGCCGATAAATGGTTGGATGACACAGTCATACAATCATATTTTCAGTCTCTCAATAAAATATGTAGCAATGCAGTTACCTCTCGAGCGCTGTTTGTTAGTCCCGCGGTTGGTGAACTTTTAAAGCATGGTTCAGATGATGTTGTTAAAAGCCAATTAACGTCTTTGAATTTCGATTCATATAAGTATGCCTTCTTCTGTGTTAACAACAATGAAAGTCTAACACTTAATACCACCACTCCTGAGTCTGAGGTTGTGGGCAATGGCACACACTGGAGTCTATTGTTTGTAAATGTTGCTAGCAAAGAAGCATTCCATCTTGACACCCTAGACGATTTTAATCTGCAACATGCATTACGTTTAACTGATAATTTAAAAATCAGCAGAGACCGATTCAAATCTGTACTGTGCCAAAGACAAAACAACAGTTTTGAGTGTGGTCTCAATGTAGTTGTAAATGCAAAAATTGTTCTAAATTGCTACTGTTCCAAGAAAAACAGTAGTAGGATAAGCTTCTGTGATTGGTACAAGGATTTTTCTATCACTGAAGGTTGTAATGGTATCTTATCTGTAACCAATGACCCAGTCAGCCAGTCTGTTCACCAAAATACCCCCGCCGCAGCAAACCTGCCGACTAAGCGAATTTCCATTTGT